ACCAGGACCAGAGGGTTCTGGGTCGGAGTCCCGGGGGAACCAGGACTCTGTTTGGAAAGCTGTGAGATACCGGTTTTTGGGATCTAGGTCTACAGAAATAAATCTGAACTGGACCTTCCCCCCCTCTCTCCAGGTGATGGGCTACTGGTACTTCGGCCCCACCTGGTGCTCCTTCTACCTGGCCCTGGACGTGCTGTTCTGCACCTCCTCCATCGTGCACCTGTGTGCCATCAGCCTGGACCGCTACTGGTCGGTCACCCGGGCGGTCAGCTACAACCGCCAGCGCACGCCCCGCCGCATCAAAGCCATGATCGCCGTGGTGTGGCTGGTGTCCGTGGTCATCTCCTCGCCGCCGCTGCTCCTGTCCCAGGGCGGGAGCGGCCCGGGGGGGGCGGCGGCGGGGGGGCGGGAGTGCCTCATCAACAACCAGACCTGGTACATCCTGTCCTCCTGCCTGGTGTCCTTCTTCGGGCCGGCGGTGGTCATGGTCCTGGTCTACTGGAGGATCTACCGCGTGGCCAAGCAGCGCGCCGCCACCGTCTTCGTGGCCAGGAGCGCCATGGAGCGCCAGCCCTCGCAGTCCGAGACCTGCCCGGGGCCGGGCGCCGCCGGGGGGGGGCCGGGCGCCGCCGGGGGGGGGCCGGGCGCCGCCGGGGGGGGGCTGGAGGCCATCCGCCTGGAGGAGAGGCCCCCTCAGCCCCGGCCCAAACCCGGCTTCCCCCGGGCCCTGAGCTTCTCCCAGAGCGTCCCAACGGAGGCCCCGCCCCCCCCGCCCTGGGCGTCCTCGGGGCGGCGCTCCCACCACCGGCTGCTCCCCCCGCCGCGGCCGGCCGGCGGCGGGCGCCCGTCCCTGTCCCGGAGCAGAGTGGCGCAGGCGAGGGAGAAGCGCTTCACGCTGGTGCTGGCCGTGGTGATGGGCGCCTTCGTGCTGTGCTGGTTCCCCTTCTTCTTCACCTACAGCCTGCACGCCGTCTGCCGGGAGCGCTGCTCCATCCCCCCCGCGCTCTTCAGCCTCTTCTTCTGGATCGGCTACTGCAACAGCTGCCTGAACCCCGTCATCTACACCGTCTTCAACCGCGACTTCAGGAGGGCCTTCAAGAGGATCCTGTTCCAGACCCCCAAACGGACATGAGGTGGGAACGTGGGATTTTATACAGACTCATTCTAGGTCCTACGGGCTCATCCTGGGTCCTACAGGCTAATCCTGGGTCCTGCAGACTCATTCTGAGTCCTTCTGGGTCCTACAGACTTTTTGTGGGTCCTACAG